CCCACATCTTCCGACCCCGCCGTGGCTGAGACACGGCAGCGATTGGCGCTGCGGCCGACGACAGGACCCGGCCGCGTGGCCGCTCAGCACTGGGTCACCAAACCCCGTAACGCTCCGTGATCGTAGTGCGGAGGAGTCCTGGCCGTGAAGCAGGACCCCCCCGGAGCTAGGCGCCGAACAAGCACACGGCAAAGAGACCCCTGCCCGGCGCACCCTGCCCTAAGCCGAACCCCCAGTCCTGGCCTCTGCCTTGGAGAAACCCCGTCAGCCCGAATCGCCCGGCTCCCTTTGCAGCCCTGCTGTGGCTGAGCATGGAGGATTTAGAGGCAATCCCCGGAGTGAGCCCCAAAGGGCGTGGGGAGCCGGTGGAGCCAGGAGAATACAGCCCATTAAACCGCAGCTTGATTCCCCTGTGCTTAGCGCCTCCCCTGTCCTCACTTGAAAGGGGCATTGGCAAGAAGAGCCCCAAACGCTCCAGCTTCCCACTAGTACAAGGGATAGCGCTGTCGGTACAACACGCCCCCGCCCGCGGCTCCCCGGGGGTGGAGAGCAGAGCGCTGCCTCCCCAGGTGATGGAACCACGGCCCCTCGGAGCCGGCCTGAGCCACTCGGTTCTGATTCCGTCTGGCAGCGTTTGCGGGGCCCGGCTCTCCTAGGCTGGATTTGCCTCCCTCTTTCTTGGGCGCCTCTGGGCGTTCCTGGCCGGGGGATTGAGTGTTGAGCAGAGGGAGGGGGGGGTCTCCCGACGCACAGAGATGAGCTTGTGTAGACGCAGCTGCTGCTCCTGCTAGCGCCAGCCGGAGCCCTGAGCAATCGGCACCTCTCCGCTCTGGCTTGAAGAACCCGGAGGGCTGGCTGACTCCTGCACTGGGGCCATATCGCTTAAAGCCCTCGGGAACGTCCTTCCGTACCCTGTCCCCTCCCCGCTTCCCTCCCAGTGGGACTGCAGGGAACTGGAACAAGACCCTGCGGGGCAAAGCTCGAGAGGGGTCAGGGTGGGAGGGGAGAGGCTGAGATCGTGGGCAGGGTTATATGGGGGGCTGGAAGATGTGGGGGACGGGATGAGGCTGTCACAAGGGGGAAGCTGATTGAGGGTGGGAAGTGGCCGGGGCTTGGCGCCTCTGCAAATCAGACCACTGGCCTTTTGTGCCTCGGTTTCCCCATCGTTCCAGCAGGGCCGGTGATACTCCCCTGGCTCCTGGAGCGTGGCGCGTTCCCCTGCGGCCGAGGGCGGCCGTGGCGGGATCCAGCCGGGGAAGGGGGCGGCTTCACCGTGCGCTCACCTCCGTCTCTCCCTGTCTCCCCTGCGCCAGGGAGGTGGTCCAGATAGACCAGTTCCTCAAGGAGACGGCAACCCGCGAGGCCAACGCCAAGGTGCGGCTGCCGCAGTTCATCGAGGAGCTCCTGGACCGGGCCGACCGGGCGGAGAAGCAGCTCCAGATCATAAGCAGCAGCTGCAGCACCACCCCCAACGGCAGCCTGGGCCGGGGCAGCGGGGCTGGCTCCAAGGGCTCCAGCCGACCGGTATCTCCTCTTGGCATCAGCTTGTGTCTCTGGGTCGCCGGGCCCTGTGGGGACCCACGTCGCTCCGGGTGCATGCGCTAGCCTGGTCTCGGTGGGGGGCGGGCAGGGGCCACATGCACCCCCCAAGGTGGGAGGGGCTGGCCGGTAAGAGTCTGCACTGTGCAGGGGCCTCCGCACACTCACCGGCAGGGAAGGCGCAGGCCAGGCTGTGCCATTCCGGGGAGAGCTGGGAAGAGGTGGGCGGAGCCAGGGCAGGGTAGGGGCGGAGCAAAGCAGTATGGAAAGGCGGGGCAGTTACCACTTGCCACAGGCTGCTTGCCTCGCAAGCTAAGCAGCATTGAGCAGGATCCAGGGCTGGATGGGAGACCACGAGGGAAAACGTGTCTCCTGAGCGTGGGTAGCTGGTGGGTGGTTCGTGAGGGGCCACTAATTCAGTGCGGAGCCTGTGTCCTGGCACACTGGGATGGCAGGGCTACCCCAGGAGACTGGCCTGGGAGCTCCCTTCCATGCTGCTGTATTGAAAGCTTCCCTCGTGCGCTTTATTTCCAAAGCGGGGAACCATCTTCAACATTCAGGAGGGAAAACGTGGCACCTTTTCAATTTGCTCTTGAGTCCCCCTTTCCGGGTAACGCCATGGGTGCCAAACAGCAGGCATGTTCCACCCCAGAAGTGGCTGCACCCCAGCTTGTCAAGTGCAAGGCGCTGTATAAATGGACGGGCTGATACTGTACCAGCACATGGATAGCCGTTCGCAGTCTGCCGGGCGATCCCCTGGGGCAGGCCTTGGCCAAAGGGCTTTTCCCTCGCTGGGGGCGCGTGACCGGCTCAGTGTCTGGTTTCCTTTTCCCCCAGCGGGACCGGCACGCTGGCCCTGGGGCAGCGATCCACAGCTCCTACGCCGTTGCCAATCAGCGAACCTCCTCCAGCACCGGGTAAGCCACCCCCGTGGCCCTCAGCCCTGGCTTTCCCCAGCATCCTTCCCCAGCAGGAAACCAGCCCCACATGGGCGAGGCATCTCCTGGGCCGCGTTCTCCCCAGCTCTGGGCGGCGGGTATCCTTGGCCACGGGGGCTAATCCTCCCATAACCCAGGTTGTGGGCTCCCTTTGGCTCCCTCTCTCCTTGGAAGCCTGTCAGGGGGTCAGTTCAGGGCCAGCTGGTGGCCCAGGACATCCTGGGCTGGGAGTGGTGGGCATCCCAGGAGCCAGCCGGAGGTCAGGGTAGTTGGTCCAGGGCTCCTCCAGCTGGGTGAGAGGAGGGGGGAGCAGACGCAGGGCTGTGGTGGCAAGGTGGGTGACTGGGGGTGGAGCCTCAAGTGGAAGAGGCGGGGCCTCCAGGTTAGCCACACCTCCTCTCCCCCGTCTCCAGCAGACAGCGAGGCCAGCTGGAGTGTAGTTTGCTGGCGGTCACGAGGGGGCGGAAGAAGCTCGCTCTTCCTTTCCAGTGGAATTCTCCGCAGGAGGGTGGTGGATGCTCACCCCGAAACCGTCCTCTGTGGCAGCCCGAAATGCAGCTTCCCAGCCGCCTTGCGTGCGCTGAGCCGGCCCTCTAGATGCATTCAGAGCCGCTCGGAGTGGCATGAAACATGCAGGTTTCCCCCTTTTGATCGGCCTTCCTTTTTTTCCCCACGTCGGACCTGGGGGGGCTGCCCTGTCTGTGGGGCGGTGAGGTTACCGCTGCAGGGCTCTGTAGAACGGATCTCTAGCTGTTTGCCCTGCGCCCTTGGTTCAGTGGCATTGCCCCCGAGACGAGTTTGGCCCCCCAGCTCTTCAAGTTTGACTGTCGTCAGCATGGGTGTCCCCAGGAGAGCTCAGCTTTTTCTCCTAGGCCTACGCCCCTTCTCTGGAGCCATGTCACGGGCTGCTTTTTCTGCAACGCCTAGCTCCGGGGAGGTGCTGTCCAGATCCCTCCCGCTCCGCCACCCCTCCGGGTCTGTCTCCCTGCAACCGCAGGCCTGTGTAGACAGATCTAGCTAGCTCAGCTCCTGGCCGCAGCCTTCAGCCTGGGCCAGGCTGGTGTGCTGGCTGGAAGGGTTTCCCTGCTCCGGGCTGGCAAAATGAAAGCTGAGCCCTGTGGTCACAGAGCTAGATGCATTCAGAGAGGGTAGGTCCATCGATGGCTGTTAGCCAGGCTGGGCAGGGATGGTGTCTCTAGCCTCTGTCTGTCTGGGAATGGGAGACAGGGGAGGGATCACTGGATGGTTCCCGGTTCTGTTCCCTCCCTCTGGGGCCCCTGGCAGTGGCCACTGTGGGCAGACAGGACACTGGGCCGGATGGACCTTTGGTCAGACCCAGTGTGGCCGCGCTGATGTTCTTCTGTCTAGACAAGCCCTACGAGGCTGGGGCGAGGGGGCGGGGCTGTTCGAAAAAGGGCGGGAGGAACCAAATGCAGCAGTCAGTGGAGTCCCAACGAAACCGGGTTCCTGGCTCCCGGCTGGGCCCGAGCCCTGACTTCTCCACAGCTAATGGGCTGGCCTGCTCGCCACCTGCTGCAAAGGGACAGCTGCCTCGTAGGCCTGGGGACCCCAGAGTGCCGGGGCGGGGGATCTGCTTTACTCTGCGTTGGTTCAGCCTCCGTTGGAGACTTGGGTCCAGTTCTGGGCACCGCATTTCAGGAAAGCTGTGGAGAAATTGGAGACGGTCCAGAGAAGAGCAAGAAAAATGATGAAAGGGCTAGAAAACGTGAGCTGTGAGGGAAGACTGAAGGAATTGGGCTTGTTTAGTGTAGGAAAGAGGGACATGAGAGCAGTTTTCAAGTATCTAAAAGGGTGTTACAAGGAGGAGGGAGAAAACTTGTTCTTCTTGGCCTCAGAGGATAGGACGGGAACCAATGGGCTTAAACTGCAGCAAGGGAGGTTTAGGTTGGACAGCAGGAAAAACTTCCTACCTGTCAGGGTGGTTACACACTGGAATAAATTGCCTAGGGGGGTTGTGGAATCTCCATCACTGGAGATATTTAAGAGCAGCTTGGACAGACGCCTGTCACAGATGGTCTAGAGACGGTGTTTGATCCTGCCATGGGGGCAGGGGACTGGACTCGGTGACCTCCCGAGGTCCCTTCCAGTCCTAGAATCCTCTAGGATTCTACGTCCAGCAGTTTTAGGCAACCGGTGCTAGAAGCTCGGGGAAGGTGACGGCTGGGCGTGTCTGTCTGGGTCCCTGCTGGCCCTGTGAGCTGTCCCCTGGTACTTCGTCATCAAGAGACAGAGGCCCCTCCTCGTGTCTGAAACAAACCAGAGTCTCTTCTGTAAGCAGGGCTGTCGGATGTGGAGTGCGGGGCCACCGTGCCCTGCCTGGAGCTCAGGTCTGGATCCAGTCCTGCCCTCCCTCTCCCCGGTCCCCGTCCGCCTCACGGCCGCGTGTCCCCACAGGGCCTCCAGCCGGGCGAAGGCCGTCTCCCAGAGCTCGGGCTGCTACGACAGCGACGGCGCCGAGCTGTACCAGCTGGAGGAGAACCCCGACGGGCACCCCTCCCCCGGCGGGCAGAGCCGGGGCGTGGACAGCGGCTTCGAGCGGCCCGCGGCGGCCCGCAGCTCGGGGCTCCGCAGGCAGGCCATCCAGAACTGGCACCGCCGGCCGTACCGCAACAGCACCGAGGGGGGAGAGGGGGACATCTCGGACGTGGGCTCCAGGACGACCGAGTCGGAGGCGGAGGTGTGGGAGCACGACCCCCGCCTCCCGGCGGAGGTGAAGGTGGCAGGGCCGCCGACCGGCTGCCGGCTGCCCGGTGAGTCTCCATCCTGGTTGTGGCGGGAGGGCTGTGAAACCCCAGCAGTGGTGATCTCGGTCCAGTAGGTGGCGCTCTCCCCTTGAACCCTGTCCCCAGCCTGGCGAAGGAGGGAGGGGCTGACATTTGCGGGCGATGGAAAACCGAGGCCCGAAGTCACGCACGTTAATCCGGTTCCCCCGCCCGTGTGGGCGGCGCAGTGGAAACCTCGCCTCCACGGGCCACGCGGCCGACAAGCCCAACCCCAGGTAGTCGGAGGAAGCAGGAGGGGGTGGAGAATAACAGAAATCGTTCCAGCGCCTTCCCAGGGCCCCATGGGGTGGTCTCCTCTGCAGACGGGGTGCAGAGGGAGCCAAGGCCTGGAATAACATGGGAGGGTTACCTGAGAGAGGATACAAGTCTATAAAACAGTGGTCACCAACCAGTAGATCGTGGCGCCTCTGACAGGGGCTCCTGACTGGTTTGGTGGAGAGGCTACCAAGTGTAGGCACGTCAGCTGCCCCTCCCTTTACTGCTGTGCATGTCCTGCCCTTTGCCTCGGATCTGCCTCTTTCCACCCCCGGGAGCCTGCTGCTTGCTGGGCAGGCCAGGCCAGGGCAGGGAGACGAGGGGCACTGTTGTCAGGGTATCCTATCCCCGTCTGTACCCTATCTCCACGGAGCAGGGTGGGGGCACAACAGGACTTGGGATGGAGTTTGCTGGCTGCTTTGGGAGCGGTGCAGGGCCAGGGCAGGGGGGGAGCCTGCCTTAGCCCCACTGCACCACCAGCCAGGAGCCACCTGAGGTAAACAGTGCTCAGCCAGAGCCCACATCCTGAACCCCAAGTCATGAACCCCCTTCTGCACCCCAAGCTCCTGTTCTAGCTTCAAGCACCCCTGCAAACACCCTCCCAGAGTCTGTACCTAGAACCCCAACTGCCTGCCCTAAATTCAGCTCAGAGCCCCTCTCGTACTCCAAATCCCTTAATCCAAGACCAGAGCCTGCACCCCCACCCTTGCTACTGCCTGGTGAAAGTGAGGGAGGATGGGGGAGGAAGGGAGGGACGGAGTGAGCAGGGACAGGGCCTCGGAGAAGGGGCACACAGGAGGCGGGACAAGGGGATTTGGATTTGAGGTAGATCCTGGATTGTACTTACATTCAAAAAGTGATCTTGTGCTTAAAAAGGTTGGAGACCCCCTGCTATAACATTCCCCGGCCTGCGGGAAGGGAGACCGGACGGCGCGTGGTCGCCGCCCCGTTGAGTGAGAATCCAGAATTTAGCAGCCGCAGGGATCTGGCTATTGGGAATGTCCAGATGTTTCTTAACGAATGAAAAAAGCCCTAGAAGAGAGATTAGAGCCCCCGCTTCAGGGCTGACACCCGTCTCTGGCTGGTAGAGCCCCAGATAAGACCTTCCTTGGGGCAGATTGGGGTGGGGTTCTTGCACCTTCCTGCGAAGCAGCTGGAACAGGAGGCCAGAGATGGTGTCTTAGGTGGACCGTGGGCCAATGTTCCTGTCCCTCTGTGGGTGGGTGGAGGTCCCGGGGGGCTTCCCCTACAAACGACACAAGTCCCCGTGATAGTTCTGCCTCCTTCCGTTCCCCCTGCAGCTCCAGCAAGAGCCAACGCTCTTCTCCACGGGCGTGGCGGCCTGAAGGGTTCACCCCCAGCAGCTAGTCTGGCCTCCTGCCTAACCCAGGATGCCCTAGACCAGGGGTGGCAATAATTTTTAATGCAGGGGGGGGCCACTCCGAGATTTTGGAAAGTGGTCGAGGGCCACACTTCCATGGAGAGGGTGCGGGGTCTGGGATGGAGGCTGGGTGCAGAAGGGGACTCGGGGTAGGGGTGCAGGATGAGGGTGTGGCATTTAGGTGAGGGAGGGGGTTGTGATCTGGGGTAGTGGCTTGGGGTGCGGGGTCCAGGAAGGGGAGGAGAGGACTCTGGCTGGGGGAGGGGTGCAGGAGGAGGTGCAGGGTCTGGGAGGGGGTTGTGACCTGGGAGAAGGGGAGAAAGGGGTACAGAGGGTTTGGTTGGTGGCCGGGGGGACAGTGGGATTGGGGTGCCAGGCTCTGGCTGGGATGCACTGACCTAGGTGGCTTGGTCTCTTGTCCACCCCTGTCCTAGACTGTAGTGACTTGCTGCGAAGCAGCTGCTGTGCTCCGCCCCAGAGCTGGCCGCACTTTGGGACTGAGTGACGCATGGGCAGGGTTCTCGGGTGCGAGAGGCTCTCTCTGTGCACCTGAGGAGCCTTTTGGACCACCCTTCTGCCAGAGTGTGGCTCTTGGTTACCGTGGCGATGGTGTATGGGAAATCCTAGAAGCAGGGGCATCGGGAACGGGTTTTGTTGCACCTCCCAAGTATGTTAACGAATGCTGAGACCCCAGGCCATGTTCAGAGCCCGTGTAAACGGAGCCACTCTGTTTAAGCCACTGGAGTTGTCATAGGCTACCTCGGGTCTGAATGTGGCCCTTTATTCTGCTCCCTGGCTCCATTTGTAGGCAGGTTGGGGGTTGTGGCGATTCGGGTTCCACTCGTGGTGGGGTGGGGACAGACTGGGATTCAGGACTCCTGGGTTCCATTATTCTCTTTGCTCTTCGGCTCAAGTCCGTGCCTCAGTTTCCCTGGGTTAAAATGGGTTTCAAAATACAGCCCAAGCTCCCAGGGTACTGTTCATAGAACATTCTGCACTCCCCTGAGGGAGGGTGCTAGGGGCAGGTGAAGGGTTGTTATTTTAAACCCTTAGGAAAACTTGACGCACACGCTCCACATACCCCTAACCCCGGCCGTGCTCCTGCGTGGTCTTCCCCTTCCCGCACAGTGCCCCGGCTGATGGTGTTTGTCGCGCAGGCAGGTCCGAGGGGGGCGGCGGGAAGGCCCTCCGGCCCGAGAGAGGCAGCCCGTCCCGCTCCAACGAGGTGATCAGCCCGGAGATCCTCAAGATGCGAGCGGCGCTCTTCTGCATCTTCACCTACCTCGACACCAAGACCCTGCTGAAAGCTGCGGAGGTCTGCAAGGACTGGAAGTTCGTGGCACGCCACCCTGCCGTGTGGACCCGGGTGCTGCTGGAGAACGCCAGGGTGTCGTCCAAGGTAAAGGGCCAGACCGTTGTGGGGCCCCAGCCAGGCCCTCCAGGGAATGCCCCGGGGCAGAGCCAGGCCCACAAAAACACCAGAAATGGAAGCAGCACGGGGCTTGTTTCTCAAGAGCTGATGTGTCCCTGCCCTTCCTTTCTGTGCCACGGTTTTCTGTCGGCGTCACGGTGGGCCTTTTTTATAAATGAAGCCAGGTTTTTCCGGTATAGGTTGAACCTCTCTAGTCCAGCACTCTTGGGACCTGAGCGGTGCCGAACGAGAGAATTTGCTGGACCATGGGAGGTCAATATTGTCTCGCAGCATTAGCAACCCTGCCACTGCTCACTGGGCCCCGGGCCCCGCTTCCAAGCGAAGGATTAAGGCCTTGAACTCGATTGGGTAGTGCAGGGAGTGGAGGAGAGGTGTGAGGCGCTTGTGTTGCGGAGGAGTCGGGCTGCAGCGTCCTGAACCCACTGGAGTCTGCTCAGGGCTAAAGGCCCTGTGCCCGGGGATATCCTCTTGATGGGCTTTGAGAAGAAACTGAGGGGTACATTAGAGCTAACTCACACACAGAATACTGACAGCCAGGATGGGAGGCTGGAAACAAACTTTATGGGGCCGTGGGAAACTTGGCCACCCCCTGGACATCTGGCTCACTGGAATCTTGCCGGACCACGGAAGTCGGTGGACTAGAGAGGCCGGATTAGAGAGGTTCAACCTGTAAATGAAACATTTTCATTAGCCAAAAACCCCTCCAGCTGGCGTGTGTGCAGCCGGGTGGGTGTGCACGTGTGTTGGCGCGTGTCGTCCTCCGAGGTCGGTGACGGCAGCTGTGCGCTGGTGCGTGTTGGCTTCTGAGGCTGCTCCCTCCAAAGTCCGTGGGGATGGCTACGTGCATGTGCGCCTCTGATTCCATGGGTGCATCCGCGCTGCAAAGGAAAAACCCGCGGCACCGAGTGTCAGAGCCCGGCTGAACGGACCTGAGGCCGTGCGGTTCAAAATAGCAGTGCAGGTCCAGCCCAACCGAGAACATCCCCGCTGCTATTTTTAGCCCGGCCGCCAGAGTGCTGAGACTTGGCACTACGGTGACCGGGTGTTTCTATGCAGCATAGACATGTGTGTGAGTGGTGTTTGGACCCCACCATCTCCGCCCCGGGGCCGGGGGAGAGCCACATGCCAGCTTTCCCGGTGGCAGGTGCTCTGGCCCGGCCCGTGTCTCTTCCTAACGGGGTCCCGGCTTCCCCCCGCAGTTCCTGGGCATGCTGTCGCAGTGGTGCACCCAGACGCACTCGCTCACCCTGCAGAACCTGAAGCCGCGGCTGAGGGGGAAGAAGGAGAGCAAGGAGGAGTACATGAAAAGCACCCGGTGAGCCCCGGCGAGACGCTCCCTTCCCCGCCTCCGTAGCCAAGCCGCCCGGTTCAGCCAGGCTCTCGTCAGCCAAGACGATGCGGCCCTTTCCGTCCCCGCGGTCACGGCTGCTGCGGTAGCTCTGGCTCTCCCGTTTCACGTTCCCCTGGGAGAACGTGTCTAGCCTCCTGGCTGCCAAAAGACGCACTGCTTTGGTTCCTGGGATTGCTTAGCACTGGTGATCCTCGGCCCTTTCCATACAGCACCCTCCATTCCCATCCCAGGACCCCCGCGGGTACCGAACGGGCAGGGTGGCCCAACCCAGGGCTGAGCCCTCCTTTAGTGCTTGGGGGGCCATCAGAAACGCAGTCCCTGCCTGTCAAAAATACTAGGTCCCGTGTTCCCTCTAAATTGCGTGACAGTCCAGCCCTGTGGCTACTTAATCAGCCGCGCCCAGCCAGGGGCTCAGGGCTCCGTGCACAGAGCTGCCTGGCTAGGCAGGGCTGTTTAAGCAGCTGCAGGGCCGTACTGCCGCGCAGCGTAGAGGGAACACTGCTAGGGTCCCCTCGAGTAACGCTCCATCGCTTAAACTCCAAAGGGCTTACGTTGCAGTAAGGGACGCCGGTTGGACACGAGGAAAAACTTCCTCACTGCCAGGGGGGTTAATCACTGGAGTAATTTGCCTGGGGAGGTTGCGGAATCTCCATCACTAGAGATAATTTAAGAGCAGGTTGGACAGACGTCTCTCAGGGATGCCCTAGAGCAGTGTTTCTCAACCAGTGGTACAAGTACCCTTAAGAGTACTTGAGAGAAGTCTGGGGGGTACGTCAACACACTGAATTACCAAGGAAATGTGGAGAAAACTGAATGTTTGTTTGACGTTTTACAGCACTTTATTATTTTTGTCCTTTTTACACCCAAAGGGTATGTCTACACTACCCTCCTAATTTGAACTAGGAGGGTAATGTAGGCAAACCGCACTTGCAAATGAAGCCCGGGATTTGAATTTCCCGGGCTTCATTTGCATGAAGCCGGCCGGCGCCATTTTTAAATGCCGGCAGTTCGAACCCCGTGCCGCGCGGCTACACGCGGCACGGAGTAGCTAGTTCGGATTAGGCTTCCTAATCCGAACTAGCTGTACTCCTCGTGGTATGAGGAGTACAGCTAGTTCGGATTAGGAAGCCTAATCCGAACTAGCTACTCCGTGCCGCGTGTAGCCGCGCTGCACGGGGTTCGAACTAGCCGGCATTTAAAAATGGCGCCGGCCGGCTTTATGCAAGTGAAGCCTGGGAAATTCAAATCCCGGGCTTCATTTGCAATTGCGGATGACTACATTACCCCTGCTAGTTCGAACTAGCGGGGTAGTGTAGACATACCCAAAAATGTCATCGCCCGCCTGGCTACGATTAAGATATTTAAACAAATGTGTTGCAATGGTAGAAACAATTGTTGTGTGTCTGAAAACTAGGTACTGGGGGTACTTATAATTTTGTTTAAAAAAGGGGTGCTTTATAAAAAAAAAAAAGGTTGAGAAACACAGGTCTAGATGGGGCTTGGTCCCGCCGGGAGGGCAGGGGACTGGATTCGATGACCTCTCGAGGTCCCTTCCTGTTCTAATGCTCTGTGATTCTGTCGCCAGGCAGGAGAGAAACTCCTGTCGGCAGGAGCCGGGGATGTTCGCAGTGGTATTTGTCTGGGCAAAGCTGGGCTTGAAGGGCTACAGAGCAGGGTGGGGAAGGGCCGGGAGTGGGGAGGCAGGACTGGGGGGCAGGTTTGGCAGAGGTGCGGTAAGGGCCAGGCTTAGATCCATGAAGCACCAGTCAGTGGGAGCACAGTGGCCGGCCACGACGCTGGGAAAGGATGAGGGAGCAGATCCGTCCCCTGAACTAATCTAGGGTACTTGAGACCCTGCCTATGGGTCTGGATCTGAAATAAGCCACGAGTCCGGCTCAGGCGGACAGGGCGAGGGAGGGGGAGCGCCCGTGTACGACCGCCTGGCCGGGGTCCCTGCCGCTGGAGCCCAGCGGGCTGAGGAAGAGGCGGTGGCCTTCAGCTGCCCTCGGAGATGGGAGTGAGCGGAGACGTTTAGGCCCAGCGCCTCGCAGGCCCGCCGGCAGCTCGTTTCCATGGAACTCCCAGTGCCCGAGTGCCTTGGCGGATCGGGGCCCTAGTCCGAGCTGCTGGCCAGGGCAGGGCTGCTCCCTGTGGCAGTTGGTCAGTCCAAGGTGAAATGTCCCGAGGGCTCTACCGTTCCTCCCAGCGGCTGCTCTCTGGCCAGGCCGCTGGCCTTTCAGGGCCAGATTTCCCACGTTGGGCCTGGCCAGGGGTCTAGCGCCGCTTTGGGAGCAGGGAGCCCCGCTGAGCTCTGTTCCCTGCTGGCTCCGTCTCCTCAGGGGCTGCCTCGAAGCCGGGCTGGAGTCCTTGCTGAAGGCCACGGGCGGGAACTTGCTCATCCTGCGCATTTCCCACTGCCCCAACATCCTGACGGATCGCTCCCTCTGGCTGGCCAGCTGCTACTGCCGGGCGCTTCAAGCCGTCACCTACCGGTATGTGCAAGAGTCCCCGGCCCGCGCCGTGGAGGGAGCACAGAGCAGCTCGCTGAGGGGCCGTGGTGACCCAGCCCTCAGGCTCCGGCTTGGGGGTCTTGTCCTGCTGCTCTTGCTTGGAAGATGGTTGAGGCAGCCTGGAGCTGGGGAGAGCTGGACCACGTGGAATCCAAGCAGGGCCCTGAGGCCTGCCCAGTCCCCGGCACTAGGTCCCGTCTGTGGGACCGTCTCCTTGACGACGGGTCAGACAGGATTCCAGGGGACCCCCGGATCCAGACCCCGCCCTGGATATCTGGGGAGGCAAACTGCTCTGGGTTGGTCAGGGGTAGGAGGTGCCAGTGGTAGGAGCTGGTGGGATCCCCAGCATTGGAGGTGTATTAAGGACAAACCCCGGCAAGGGATATGGCCGAGGTTTACCTCATCCTGCCACATCCCGGGGGGCTGGACTCGGTGGCTTCTCAAGGTGCACTCGAGGGCAGGGGTGGGGTCCAGAATGACTCAGACAAATTGGAGGAGTGGGCAACAGGAAATCTGATGAGGTTCAACAAGGACAAGTGTAGAGTCCTGCACTTGGGATGGAAGAATCCCAACCATAGTTACAGGCTGGGGACCAACCAGTTAAGTAGTAGTTCTGCAGAAAAGGACCTGGGGGTTACAGTGGATGAGAAGCTGGAGATGAGTCAACAGGGTGCCCTTGTAGCCAAGAAGGCTAATGGCATATTAGGGTGCATTAGGAGCATTGCCAGCAGATCCAGAGATGTCATTATTCCCCTTTATTCGGCTCTGGTGAGGCCACATCTGGAGTATTGTGTCCAGTTCTGGGTCCCCCACTACAAAAAGGATGTGGACACATTGGAGAGGGTCCAGTGGAGGGCGACCAAAATGATTAGGGGTCTGGACCACATGACCTATGAGGAGAGGCTGAGGGAGTTGGGTCTGTTTAGTCTGCAGAAGCGAAGAGTGAGGGGGGATTTGATAGCAGCCTTCAACTCCCTGAAGGGGGGTTCCAAAGAGGATGGAGAGGGGCTGTTCTCAGTAGTGACAGGTGGCAGAACAAGGAGCAATGGTCTCAAGTTGTAGTAGGAGAGATCCAGGTTGGATATTAGGAAAAACTATTTCCCTAGGAGAGTGTGGAAGCGCTGGGATGGGCTCCCTAGGGAAGTAGTGGAGTCCCTAGAGGTGTTTAAGTCTTGGCTTGACAAAGCCCTGGCTGGGCTGATTTAGTTGGGTTTGGTCCTGCCTAGAGCAGTGGGCTGGACTTGATGGCCTCCTGAGATCTCTTCCAGCTCTATGGTTCTATGATTCAAGGTGCCTTCCAGCCCAGCATCTCGGTGATCCTATGACCCGTGTTCACTGAGACCCCGGTTCCTGGGTGCACTGCGCTCCCCTGGCAGAGGGCAGAGGTGCGCCACCCCCTGCCTGTGGGTACGGTGATGCTAGCGCCCACCACTGCCGGGCGGTCTGGGTAGAGCCAATATTTCTTCTAGAGCCAGCCCCGGAGGGGCTAGAGGAGGAGGATGTGGGTTGTTGGTTCCCCTCGCGCCGTACAGTTGCTTGGCGCTTTACAGACAAGCTGATACAATAATAGCGGGTTCCCATCCGCTACACCGGCACCCAAACCTGGCCAAGAGGAGGGCGGGACAGGGGCTGTAGCAGCAGGAGATGGAGAAATGTGTGGCTTCCTGCCCCACAGGAAGGACAGCTCTCGCCGCTGGGGAGGAGTCAGCTCTGCTACGGGGCTGAGTGGGGCCCTGGCAGGATGTGGGGCTGCCCACGCAGGAAGGGTGGGCCGGCACCATTGCCCCTGTCAGGATCCAAGGAGGAAGCCCCCGAAGCTGTCGCCGGCCGGCCCGCTGTGGGCTCGCTCCTTCCTCGTCAGGTCTAGGCGACGGCCCAGAAAGAGCAGGCCCGAGGAGCACCCGAGATGGCCATTTGCTCTGTGGGGTAAACCCCCTTGCCAGGAGCTCTCTCACGGCCGCTGGGAGGGGAACCAAGAATCCCTTACCAATCCCTGAGCTCCCTAAACCCCTCCTCCCCCCGCTCCTCTAGTACCCGTATAATCTGTGTACTATGGCAGCCCCGCGAGGCACATAACGCACCAGACCCTGACTCCGAGCCAGGGCCCCCGAAGGAAGGAGGCTGGGTGCCCAGATGACGGCCTGTCGCTTAATTTATCTGCTGTCGCGTCCGCCCTTGCTTTGGATGGCTCCAGCAGCTCCGAATATTCATACGCGCTCGAGGCACTTGGCACCATGCTCACCTGTCACCCTGACTCATATGCTTTAATTAAGGACGAGCCAAACTCGTAAGGGAATCTTGGCAGGCAGCTTTGTGGGAGACAGGACGCCGCTCAGGATAACACACTTGGCTTATTTTTAGGTTCGCTTGAAGTTTAGAACTGGGTCATTCCAAATTAGAAGGAGGGGCTGGATTGTTCACTCCCGTTGCTCGGTGGGACGAGGAGGCCCCGGGGGGCTGGTAACCAGTGTTCCCTCTAAGCTGAGCGCTTGAGCGGCCACCCAGGAGAGATTCAAATGCCCCCCAGCTGATTAGCAGAGCGCCAGCAGCATGTGTTTCTATTGGTGGTGCACATCTGCAGTTGCCTTGGTGCATGGAACAAAATTTATTCTGCACATAGGTGGAAAACCTTCGCGGGACCATTAGTGGTAACGCCATGGTGGGCTGCCAGTTTGAAATTGCTCTGGGTTGCTAGTGTTGATCATGTCAGAAGATGCTGCTCTGAGTTCAGGAGGCTTCTTTCTGGACGGTCCTTTCTCAAAGAGCTTTATCCCCAATTGGACATGGTTTTGAGAAGTATTGGACTGCAGGCGCCACTTTGAATAGCACACCGCTCCACCCCGTCCGGCATGCCCACACGCAAACTGGCTCCAGGGTTAGGCTGGTGTGAGCAGGCAGGATCAGGTCCCCAGAAGTGCCCGAATGTCCAGTCTCCCAGAAACATGAAGGTGGCCACCCTAGAGGCTAGCGAGGCAGATTAGGACCAATTAACACCCATGCGGGTCGGCTCAAAGAGCCCAGCATGGCATGGGGATTTGGGGACTCCTGGTATAATTTATTCACTTCCTGTGAGACGATGGAACTTTCTCTGCGCACCTGTACCAAGCTGCCAACTTCATTCTGAATGTGGGATCTAGTTACCTTCCTGGCTGCCGTCTTACCTCCATACTGGCCTGAAATGCCAACGGGAAGCGGTTCGGGGCTGACAGCGGAGAGTGGTCCGTGAGACTGAGACCACGGTTGTTATGCCAATGAAGCGACCTACGGGGACCGTTCGGCCGAGTTGGTTTGCAGGCGGAGGGATTAGACGGGGGAAATTCTCCATGCAAGGCAAAGTGAAGCTGGTGAAAGCAGGAGATTGTAGAAGGACTCATGGGCGGGGGAGAGGCGGGGAGAGACAGCTTCAGAGAGAGACACAGGCAGTTTGGGAGGGAACTGATCTATTCAAGAACTTTATCCATTTTCACAAACCGCAAGGGAGTTTCTGATTGGCTGGATGAGTCAGGAACACTGCCTACCTGGATACAAAAGACAGGACAATGTAGCACTTTAAAGACTAACAAGATGGTTTATTAGATGATGAGCTTTCGTGGGCCAGACCCACTTCCTCAGATCAAAGCACCACGAAACATCTGGCCCAGGAAAGCTCATCATCTAATAAACCATCTTGTTAGTCTTTAAAGTGCTACATAGTCCTGCATTTTGCTTCAGCTACACCAGACTAACACGGCTACATTTCTATCACTAGTCTACCTGGATACAGACAGTCCCCTAAGGGACGGGGGGTGGAGGGAGGTTGTGTGCAGGACGTGCGTTTTGTTCTGCCCACAAATCCTGGGCTCTCTCCATATTTCTTGCATGCCCCCCCCCCCCCCCCCC